ATATCTAGCAGCATGATGTTATGTTTGGGGAACACTGAGGCGTGACCGTGTGTGACATGACAGATATATGATCTCTGTTTTGGATGTTTTGTTCGTTATGGTCCATCCCATTAACAGATGCATGCCTGCTGTTTGCCAGCTGCAGAAGACTCTTACACACACGACTGGAATGTTCCCATGTACTGTATATCTATTCAATACCACACAAAAATAAACATATACTTCAAGATTTTCCTATTACAACGTTTCTGGTAAATTTTAAAGAAAGTCTGAACTTTTCTATGTGTAAACTTGTCCAGTTAAATATTTGCTTTCAGTGTCTTTTGTCCTTGGGATGTTGGGTAGTCGCCCTGTTTGACCATCAAACAGCTCTTTGAGAGTTGCCCACTTGGCGACCAATGAAAAGCCTGGGTCGGATTAGAGTCTGCTCAGGCCTCCTTGGATACCGGATACCAGAACACTGGACTGATTGGGAATCTGTCTACAGGAAGACCCCCTAAAACTCACCACTTCATATAGCTTCAGTGCAGAAATACAGTGTGTCACAGATTTGCATTTAAATATTATATTGTTAACATCAACAAAGCATAAATATTTACAAAAATTGTGGTCAAGGTTCAGTTGATGATAAAAAAAAGTCCTTTATAGAGATCACCAGGGCAGTTCCTTGAAGCGAATCTCAAACTCTCACACGATCATGCAGGTGTCTATGCTATTATTTCTTTAATGAGAAGTGGTTCAGCTGTATTTCAGAGAATCCTTTAAAAACCCTTTCGTGACCAACATCCATGTGACATTGAATGAAAGGATATTTTACATTAAAGCTCTATCACTGTGTTCTGCAGGGCTAAACCCGATCTATTTCCCTCTTCAGCCCCTGGTCATATTATAATAAAAAAGACATAGAGAACTTGACTTCAAAGCTGCCCCTTTTACAAAAGAGGAGATGTAGATATGAAAGATGTGCTGGGAAACGGCTGCAAGTCCTAAGTAGCTCTAAAACAGATGTTGTTTTGTGCTTAACAATTTTTATTTGTATTGCTTTTTTGTGCCTGAGATGTTGCTGCAGTACAGTCTGCAAAGTTGTGCACTGTTCCAGACCAGAGCAGAGAGGATTCATGGTCCAAACCAAACGTATCAGCCAAAAATCTATTGGAGTAATGTTGACTTTTTGAAAAATGCTAATGAAGCATTCAGAATTTTACTTTGGACAAGAGCAGAGAAAATCGTCTGAACCAAGCGGGTACTCCACCTCTTAACCTACCCTGCTCCGCCCAGAGGCTACTCCACCTCTGCTGCTGTGACCCATCCTGCTCCACCCAGAGGCTACACCATCTCTGCTGCTGTGACCTGAAAGGCTGTAGCTGATTATTACTATTGTTATCTTTTTAGAAAGATCAATTTTATTTTTTTATTTTTGCTGCTTCTGGACACCTGCATTTCTCCAACGGGGATTAATGGCAAGGCAAGGCAAGGCAAGTTTATTTATATAGCACAATTCATACACAAGGCAATTCAAAGTGCTGAACAAAACAAGAAAGCATTAAAATCATAAATTATCACAGAACATTAAAAAGAAAGATAAAAATATAAAATCCCTCAGTTGTATGCACAGTTAAACAGAACCGTCTTTAACCTGGTTTTAAACATTGTCAGAGAGGAGGCCTGTCTCACATCTTCAGGAAGACTGTTCCAGATTTTAGCAGCATTAATCTGAAAAGCAGCCTCCCCGTGTTTAGTTCTGACTCTGGGCACTAACAGGAGTCCAGTCCCTGTGCTCCTCAGAGTCCGGGCTGGTTCATATGGGACTAACATGTCACTAATATATTTTGGTGCGAGGCTATGGAGAGACTTGTACACAAGCAGAGCTGTTTTAAAGTCTATTCTCTGAGCCACAGGAAGCCAGTGCAGAGACCTGAGGACTGGACTAATGTGGTCGTACTTCCTGGTTCTTGTCAGGATAATAAATAATAAGGATAATAAACTATCTATCTATCTATTTATCTATATCTATCTATCTATGTAGAGGTTGCATTGTCATTATTTTATTTTATAGAATGAATTGATTGTTTCCTTGTCTCAATTCATTATCCATTGATTGTCTATGGTATGCCTGCAAATATTGGTGGGAGTTTGTCATACCTTATATTTACCCTTTAGTGGAATAATGAGGGAATCAATGCATGTGTGTATTTGTTCAGCGCAGATAAGTGTGAATGGAAGACTAGCAATGATGATTTTGCCAATATAGAGATAGACTTAGCCAACACTTTGTGGGACTTTGCTCTGAGATAGACTGACAAAGTGGAAAGACATTTTTTTTCTTTTCGTCTTTTAGAGGTGGCATGCAACTAAATGTTAAGTTTCTTTTTTCTTGATATCATTACTGGACTATTTTTCATTTTATTTCAGCTCCTCACTTTACACCCACATATATTTTCTTTTTTCCTCTTTACATTTATTTTTAACTTAAAAAGGTTTAAAAGTTTTGAAGCGGTTAACCGTGCCTCTAAGTCAGGGATTCTCAAACTGGGGTACGCGTAGCCCTAGTGGTACGCGGGCGCCCTCTAGGGGTACGCCAAAGAATCTGTGAAAAAAAAAAAAATCTGTGAAAAAAAAAAAAAACTTTTTTTTTTTTTTTTTTTGTATAATTTTACCAGGAAAGTCCCATTGAGATTAACTCATTGACAGCCATGGATGTCATTTGAGGACAACATTGTTTTTCAATCTTTTCCTGTCAGTCTGTGTCCCCTGTATCATACAGTCTGGGGTTTGGCTGTAGACAGTGTTTTATTAAGCCAGCAGGTGGCAGCAGAGCTCCCTGGCTTGGTCAAAGATCACTCTGAGCACTCTGAGCAGGAGAGACAGAGGTGAAGCAGACATGGAGTAATATAGTCAGGGTCAGGCTACATTTGGAGGCAGTTTGAGCAGTAAATGTGTCTCCAGAGCTGACAGAGACCATGTGGAGGGTCATAGCAGCAGACCATGTGGAGGGTCCTAGCAGCAGACCATGTGGAGGGTCAGGACAGCAGACCAGTGGAGCACCTCAAAAAAGCCACAGAAAAGTGGACTATTGCTAAAATTATCACTGAGTCCACACCAGGAGCCAGCAGCAAAGTCCAGATATGGTCACAGCGCACGCCGGACTAAACAGACGCTCTGTAGATGTAGCCACATAAAAACACACAAACGCGTGCATAAACGCACATACATGCACGCCCAAACACACAAAGACACACAGCAGTATTCTGTTGCACTTATTGATTCACTTTGATTTATTGTCATGTATAGTGTTTATCATTGTAATTTTGTTATTCTTTGATTTACTCTTATTGACATAAATATAGTGCCACCTAATGGATGAATACTGGCCATTCTATCTGGCATAGTTTGTTATGGGCTCTACTTTCAATATGTACATTTTGACATTTTTTGGATGAGTACATTTTGAAACATTTGAGCAACACTTTGTGGATGTGTGTGCCGTAAAACTTATTATTTTACATTAAAAACACTTTCTCAAAACGTGTTGCTGTTTTCTAACATGTAAGATCCTGGACATGTTTGAGGAGATGCTAAAGTTAAACTAAATAGTTTTACAATCACTTTTCTGCAGGTTCGTCTGTTTTCACAAAAACATCATTTTCTAATTTTTTTGTCTAAGACTGGTGCTTTTTGTCACACTCTCCTCTTTTCGACTGGAGATCACAGGAGAACGAAAAACAAACTAAGAACAAACTTCTTTTTGCTGCTGAAAGTAGACAGTCCAGTCTTTCAGACTCTGGTTTCATATTTTTCATAGCACACAATATTCTGTGAGTCTTTAAAAATCAGTGAAGTCATCAAAAAATGGCTGGCAGTCAATGAGAACCTCTTTTTCGTGTACAAAAATTACATAAAATTACAGATGATAAAACAGTCACATACAGATTATACAACAGTAACACACAATTTCATAAAATTACGGATTATAAAAACAGTTACATTTCACTGAAGATGTCTCAATCTGGATCTAAAAGCATTCAAGGAAATAAGATCAGATCATTTCTAGTCTTTTTGCAACACGTTCCATGTAGAAGGAGCAGTTTTTTTTCCCAGTTCTGTGCAAAAGGAACAGAGAGCAACAAACAATCATTTGATCCAAACCATATGAACATGTCTCTGTGAGTAAACGACAGATGTAAGAGGGCAGCAGAGCAAGCCTTAGAAACTAAAGTGCACCAGAGTCCAAACCTTCTGTGGACAAAGATCCCACTCCAGAATATCACTCACAGTGAGGCTTTGCAGTTCGCAATGAATGAAACATTTAAAACAAATGTTTTTCCTATATTTAAGCGCAGTCTTACTGTTGAAACTGTGTAAAATATTACATTAAATATACTTCTTTAGGAATGAAACCTCTGCCTTGTTATTGATGAATACTTCGGCTTACTACGCTACTGTGTGGTGTGGTCATTTGTGGTGGTACTTGGAGAGGCAAGTATTTTCTGAGGGGGTACTTGGTGTGAAAAGTTTGAGAACCACTGCTCTAAGTGAATTAATGAATGAATGGTTAGCAATGCTTCAGACCATTTAGCTTGACATCTACATATTTTGCCTATTGTCACATGGAAAATGTCTATTGCGATACAATGTTGTTGAAGTGTTAAGGTGCAAAGAAAAAAAAAAAAAAACGACAAAACGAAACTAAAAAAGATTATTATTTTTTAAATATTTTGTCTTAAGTGCTTGAGAACAGCACATTTGCCACCTCCTTTTTTTTGGTATGAGGACAAATGATAGTAGATGTAGGACCCCCCTCCTCCCCCAGCCCCCCCTTCGCTCATGTGACGTCACGCAGGCGGTCCAAAGTGCGGTGCGTGAGTTTGGGGTTGAGAGCAGTTTCAGCAGCGGCCAGCGTGTGTTGTGCATCCTCGGGACACCTCAACATCCGCCGTAGCTGGGGCTCCAAACTCTTCCCTCCTCACCAAACTTTGGACTAGAAGCCAACAACAGACATCATGGGTGAGTCGTGTTTACGCACACACACGCACGCTGCCATCGTGTAGCTGTCAAAACTTTTTTACGCACAACTCTCGGCACGCACATTGCTATTTCTATCTGTTGATTTGTGAATGAAATGTGAGTTAAAGAAAGAATGTGCATGTGCCGTTTGCCTGACCCGGTTTCTTTGGGAATTAGCAGTGCAGCCTAGAGAGTTGTGGAAAGCGATTAGCCAGATTAGGGATTCCAGCAACAAGCAAGCAAAGCAGCCAGCAGCACTACTACTGTGTGAAGGTGCTCTAGGCAAATCCCATAGCATCCGTTCTGTTTGAACTACCCAACTCTTCTTTACCATTCAAAAAGTCTTTATTTTGTTCCTTTTTGGTCTATAAATGAAAGAATTCTGTTGTGTTTTGGCTTGTGTGGTTGATGGTTATGCCAGAGTTACTAATTGCAAACAGGATTGAGGAGGCATCTCCAAGTGTTTACCATCTGGGCTCCTATCCCTGTTGCTCATACCATTTCTGTTGGGTAACTATAAAAGACTCCAGATGTCAGAGTAAACAGCACCACTGCTCTAACTACAGTATGCCCTGATTTAATGCTCTGATGATGAAGATATTGAGTTGCCCTTGCTGGTGCTGGAGCTCATGGTGCTGGTGCTGGTGCAGTTGAGGCCATAGGGTGGAACAGTGTGTGTGTGAGAATGTGTATCGATGCTCATTAATTCATTCTGGAGCGCTCACAGAGAGGTCATTGTGCTCCTAATTTGGACGAGTCTCTTTGTGGGACTTCAGCGGGCTTTAATGCACAGGGAGAGAGTGAGGGAGCGAGGGAGACCAGAAGAAGTTTGGAGTGAATCGCATGTTTTACAGAGCAGATGCCCTGTGAACCGTCTCCCCAAAGGCCCTCTTTCACTGTCATACTGAGGCACTGAATGAGGGACTGACCTTTGTGTGCCGTGTGTGAAGCTGAGTTTTATGTGCCTAAATTTTCTATGGAGGCGTTGAGTGGAAAATAAAATGTGTTGCCTTGAGAAGTAGGCTGACTTATGAAGTTTTTAATTTGAAGATTTGTGTGATCACGAAGCAGACATTATTTAGACTATAGACACTTATGTAGGCTCCATTTTTCATTATTTTTTTATTTTTTTCACCGTGTATATATAGTTTCATTTACTTTGTGTCCAATGCATATAAAATGAAAAGTTATATCGACTATACATTTTCTTCCAAATAGTGTGGACCACTTGATATGGCTTAAACTTGAATTGGCACAAATCTTTTCTGTTGTAAAAAAAAATTAAATTCCTTTCCAGTACTTAAAGAGCATCTATAGTCAACAAAGTTAAGCTGAGTAGTAAAACCATTTTTGCAATTTCCCTAACACATAACAACTGACGATCAACTTGAGAAAATACCCTCCCAGAAATATTTTGTCGGCTTTGTTTACAAAATGCTCTCATGATTTAACCTCAATGCTATCAGAACACTTTCCACAACTGTGTAAGATCCCATTTGAAGATTGCGCTCTGAAATAAACCAATGTGGGGGAACATTGGGGCGTGAAACTGCTGAACTCATAAATAAGCAGCCTGAAAATTGCATTGAGTTTGCCAACTTCTAACATAATTTTTGACTTTGAACTTTACGCGGGTGTTATATTCTTGCAGACAGTGGGTGATTTCACAGTGCTTTGGCCTGCGTGGCGTGTGGGAGGATCTCTTGGCCCTGGTTCTCGGTGGTTGTTAATTCAGAAAGGAGACAGACATTTATTTTTTGCTTTGAATGTCTTCCGTTGCTTGACAAATCTTGCTTTCTGTCGGTCTCATTATAAGCTCTCCTAAAGCATTTACTATAAGCACTGAAATGATGTGAGAAAACATTATACCCACACGCAATTACTTGGGCTCCGAAACCTCAAATCCTGACTACATTTAGTTTCACTACGTACTTGGCCACTGATTTAAGACAAATTTGGAAAAGGCATAGTGGTTGATGCTCCTAAATAGGACTACATTCTAATTTATACTTCTCTAAACAGGCGATTTGATTATGTGCCAAACATCTGAGGCGTCTTATGACTAGAGATGTAACTAATCAAATCTGGCCGATTATAGACAGGGCTATGAACACTGCTGCTATTCTTCAGACAGGCAGATGCAGGGGGCCTGGAGGCGAGTTTGTTTGGGTTAATGTGGTGTTTTCGGGTCTTTTTGAGGAGATTACAGATGCGAGACTATAGAGAATGATATGGCTGTTGGTGATGCATTGCTACATAATCTTCTAAGAGGCTAGGCTTTTTATCCCCATGTTTAGTTTTGTTCCGTGAGTTTCTTGAGTAATCTTCAAATGGCTTCTTTCTCATTACATAGTTCAACAGTGGATTAGATTCTATGGGTATTTCTAAACCATTTACACGAAATACCTCCTACTATCAGCTCATTGTTGGATAAGATCATTTTGTGGGCCATATATTTATTTATATCTATACATTTTCTTTGCAAAAGTGGATTGATCTTTTCTATTGTTTATGTAAAACAATGACATTTTTGCTGTAGATGGTTCAATACAACTACATGATTCTTCATTAATTCATGCTTTTAATGAAATGAACAAATGAAAACTAATGGCTTATTATCCTGCTAAAATGAGTTAACTAAGGCCTACTAAAGCATATCAAGGTATAACCAGGTCTTACACCGGACTTTTATTCTATTTTATATTTCTTTTCAAGATAATTATTAACCCAACGGAGGACAAACACATGGAATGAATTGATTCAACTGGAATACCATCAAACGATTGAACTGACTTAACTATTGGTGAGTTTGTTACTGGCGAAATTAACAAACTAACCCATACTAAAAGAGATTAGTATTGGTGAGTTTGTTTATTTCGCTGGTCATTACTCGCCAAAAGCAATTCAGGTGCACAATAAGAATTTCAAATCCAAAATTGGACTTTTTTACAGAGCGCAAGGGTTGGACTGAAGTATGATTTCATAGGTGATGGTCACTTTGTCAGGTTCAATTGACAATGAATGAATCGTGCAGACAGACAATGAATTAAATGTATTGGTATTCTATTGATTCCATTATGACTACACTCATGAGATTAGATTAGTTTATCTGAATATGCTTGACCAAAAATCTAGAATTACCCAAGAGGCTGTTGGCTTGTTCAATGTTTTGCGACACTGCTGCGTCCATGACTTGGATGTCTGCTCACTGTCTGATTATGTAGCTCCCACATCAGCACGTAGTGTCACAGTCGCATACGGTAATGTGGATGTGAACGTTGGCCCCTGTATCCTGCGCTCTGGGCCGGAGAGGAAGCACCCAGAGGCTTTTAACGCTGTACCAAGCAACTGGGGTGTTTGTTTCTCTATCAACAATTTGTCAAGTGATGGTGTAGGCAGAATGATAACATGATTTCAGATGAGTCATTGGCTTGTGGGGTAAATTGTAGGTCAGGCAGCAGTGAATCATAGTGTTTAAAAAAAAGAAAATCTATGTCTTAAAGCAATGTGTAATGAATGCATTTGGATGTAACCACTAAGTAGCTGTTCATCTGTAGTTTGAAATCATTAATTACACTGATTGCAATGATAATAAGGTCAGGGCTGTCATAGTTTGATGGAGTTCCAGGCTTGAATCCATTTGGCAGAGCAGCGAGCTGAGCAGTATCTCTGGTAATCACAGAAGATGAAGCCAAGGCCTTTTGGTTAAGCAGCAGATCTCAATTTAAAATGACACTATGATTTTTATTAGATTATTTTGTATCTATTTTTATTTGTATCTGACCTTACCACTGTGTTTTATGGAATATTGTGGAGAACACAACACAGACTACTTACTTTCTTCCTATACCCACCACCATTAAGCTCTAACCAAGCTTATAATTCTGGCATTAATTATAATGTCTCAGCACCTCCCCATTTATCAAGCTAAACCAATTAATCAAAAGGGGTTAGAGGTACTCTTCATAATTAGTGGTCGAGAATTTTTCAGGACCAATACTGATAATTAGTTGCCAAGGAGACTGATAACCGATAAATGGAGCCAATACTAATTACCAGAAAAAGTGAACATATTAGTGTCCAATTTTTGAGTGATACGAACTGCAGCATTTAGAAATAGCTCCCACTGTATAGACTGGATGTTATGTAACTGGAGTTTTAGGGATGGATAGATCTTCCAGGTGATGCTTGCATTGGTTATGATTTTAACGACAAGTGTCCTGTTAAATTGATTGAAACGAATAAAACTTTTATAAAACAGCTTTTTTTAGGCATATGAACAGTAAGTTTTGTTGTACTCGAGTGCTGGCATATAGCTGTAGTATTCATAAATGTTTGTGTCTAGTTAATTCGTATCATTGTTTCGATCAGGAGGCTGGATCACTGCTTGAGTATAGACTTTTTATTTTTATTATGGCTGGGTAACGCTGCAATAACAGTCACTTCCAGTAACTGTGCTTTTATCAATAACGCGACTTGAAAAGGCTGATTGAGTAAGCAGACTCGATACTAAAGCCTATTCACAGTGGCACTGGGGAAGCAGGGCAGCTGTGTGGGAGATCGAGTTGGCATTTAAATATCTCTCTATAGGAAAATAACTGGATCCTTTCAGATATGAGCCGGAAGCTGAAGACTGAGAGAAATGCTACAAATGCTGATAATGGCCTTCATATTTTCTATCCATAATAGACTTGTTGTACGTCCATCTATTTCAGGGTTTCAACATTCTTTCTCATTGTTCCGTTCACTGTGCTGGATTGTTCCTGAAAGCCTGTGAAGAGAAATTACAAAACAAGCCCAGTGCTGCCGACGATCACTCATTCATCAAACATCTCTGCGTGTATCACATTCAACAGGTGATCATTGTGTGTCACTGCAGTAGGCAGACACAAGTCAATGTAACCCAGTCAATTCCAATGTCGGAAGTAGTAAAAGAGAAGTTTGGTGGTGGACATATTGTGAAGAGTCATTATATTAAAACTAAATTATACACTTTTTTG